TCGTGTAGAAGTTCCTCCTAAATGTCCAGTCTAAATCTGCTCTCTGCTAGCTTATGGACATTATTTCTTGCAACTCCCAGGGGCACCTTGGTGAGTAGAGCCTCACCAATTCCCTTCTGTGCCCCCATGATGAATTTATAGGCAGCCACAAGGTCACCTCTCAACCTTCTCTTGCAGAGGCTGAAGAGATCCAGGTGCCCTAGTCTCTGCTCGTAGGGCTTGGCCTGCAAGCCCTTAACCATATGAGTGCCCCTTCTCTGGACCCTCTCCAGGTTACCCACATCCCTCTTGAAGTGTGACGCCCAAAACTGCACGCAGTATTCCAACTGCGGTCTGACCAGCGCCTGATAGAGGGGAAGCATCACCTCCTTGGTTCTGTTATCAAGCATCAGCATATGCATGACGAAAGTGCAGTTAGCTTTCCTGATGACTTCGTCACGCTGACGACTCATGTTCATCTTGGAGTCCACTAGAACTCCAAAATCTCTTTCCGCTTCCATGCTACCGAGCAGGTCATTTCCTAGGCAGTAGGTGTGCTGGACATTTTTCCTCCCTAGGTGTAGCACTTTGCATTTCTCCTTGTTAAATTGCATTCTATTGTTTCCTGCCCATTTGTCCAACCTGTCCAGTGGCGACCTATACTTGCCCTGGCACAGCACCACCAGAAAAGTATATGTTGCTTTTCAGGAGGGAAGCCATTGCCATTAACTGTCCTCGCATCGTTGTAGTGCTGCTGCTGCTGGTTCCATGACTGCTTATTCAATTACCCTTGCTTATTTCACAGCTAGCCTTCCCTGAAGATCATTCCATTATCCACCACCAGTGGATGTGCTGGATAGCAATACAGTTCTGCCTGACAGTGACCACAGAACACTTATTGGAAATCTGCAGAGCTGACTGAGCACAACGTGATGGCTTTCTTGCTTTCCACCTGTAACATCAACATGAATGATAGCTAAATACACAAATATTCCACATAATCATTGCAGCAGTGGAAATAAAGCTTTATGCAAGCATGACTAACAGGAACATACATAAAGGCACTGAAGTGGTGGTAGTAGTCAACACTGTGACATAGTCCCTGTTGGACAGCAAAGCAATCAGTCTTAGCTTGGGCAGTGGCCCTCCAAAAATCAGTATTGCCTTAAGAGATGTTGACCCCAACACCAGCAGATTGGGGGGGGGGGGGGGGGGGGGGGGCACGACAACGACAAAACAAAACAGAACAACTTTCACTGCACTGTGATGTTGGCTGAAGACAGTTAAAAACTTCAGCATAGGTTCAGTTAACACAGCACATGCTCTTTAATACTTACCCACATTATAAAGAACTACAGTTCGACTACTTGTCACCCTTAAAAGAGGTAAAGGGAGGTAATAAAACTTATGGCACTTTCCTGTTCAACCCACCAACATGATCCAATACTTCTGCAGTCACCAGCACTTGATTCATCAATCAATTCCCCTCCCAAAAGTCTCTGAGACTGGTCCACGAGTTTGTTTTTTCTTGAAAAAATTATACTCACACTGATATGTTATCTTTTGAGGCATAGCCTGCCTTCTTACAGGCAAAATAAAATTATTCCCTGATCTTCACCATCCCTCAAGCATCTTAGGTCATCCAAAAGTTTTCCCAAGTTAATAAGTCACCAATATGGCCTCAAGTCTATTGTACCAGAGGAAAGGTTATATAACTAGTACAATGCTGTTTTTGTTGCAGCCACACCCATGTCAAAGTACAGTAAATACTCCGACTACAGATCTTGGTACATACCCAGCCACACCTAGTACTGGCTTCCTATCAATTTTCTCTAAAGGGGTTTTGTTGCTTATCATCAAAATGATACCTATATACGCAAGACAACAAGGTGCCAATTCTGAGTGCAAATGTCAAGACAGCCTTTGGTTATGTGTTTTGTTGTTGATGTACATCTTTGTCCCAAGTTCAAAATTAACTTCTATAGTACAATTTGACATGCAAATATCAGCAAAGCTAAATCTCTCTCACTTCACCATAATAGTTGCACCTTACCCTACCATGCCACAAAAGGAAACATAACTATAATTGGTATAATACAATCAGAGGGAAAGGCACAGGGGAATACAAAAAAGTCCCTACAAGAAAGCCATACAAGTTATGCAATATTTTGGTACAGAGCAACAAGATCCCAAATCAATACAAGCCAGCTATACACCTGCAAGGAATTTCTAGACAACCAAGCTGCTTGGGCTCATTTTGTTTCATGAGAGAAACAGCCTTCTGGATTTGCCAAATTTTGGTTAGGAACTATACGAAAGTGGCAGGCTAGCCCATCTACACCTAGGGAACTTGGGAATGCAGAACATGCTTGTAGCTACATCAAGAAAAACAGGCTCAGGATTTGTATCAAACTGAAGATTCCTAGAAGGAAAAGTCTTTATTTTTTGGAAAAAAAACTAAGTACACAAAACCATGTTTAATGTACATGCAAAAAAGAAAGTCAACAACATGTCTCAAACTTAGAACAGAATGTTTTAAGAGTAATAAATTGAACCACTTAACATTAAAATTAATCCCCTTTATCTGAAAGGGGATCTCACCATAGGCTGAAATGCATTTAACAATTAAACCATAATTAAATCAGCTCTTGCTGTTTGCAGTCATGTTAAGATTGATGACATCACTAACAGTGATAGTTTGCAAAACAGCTACCAGGAACAGGCTAAAAATGCCAAATAATATTTTGCAACGATAAGATAGCAAGATGTATTAGAAGGAATTCCTTCAACTTGTTTGAATGAACTGAAACAGGTAATCTGTTAAAATGTCTTTATATGAAGAGTAGAAACACTTGGATATAAGACGTTCCTTCAGGAAAAAACAAAAACAAAACCCCAAAGCTGAGTAGCTCTCCTATGAAAGGTTTGCTTTCTTACAAAAAGTTAGAAAGCAGGCTGAATAGCAACCTAGGGCAGTGGGGGTGGGGAAGAAGGAGTACAGCTGGTAGATCCCTCTTCTACATTATGACTTAAAATCAAATCCCAAATAATTAAGAATGCTTTCTGGAGACCATGGTAAATTGCAAGCTTTTGGCAGGAGAAACTGAAGTACCAACTATAAAAAAAACACTAATTCGTGTTAAGTATTTCCAAAATTACCAGTATATTCTCACAGGGTCTGGAGGAGGTTAGGCAAAATTAATATAAAGAAGGGCTGAATGCCCAGAGAAGCCCATCTTCTGCTTGCCTCTAAGAATCCTCCTTCTGAGGATCTGTGCCACAAGAAGCTATATAAGCCAATGATTTTTGTAGCAATCCACTTTATGAATAAAGTGTTTCTACAGGAAAGTTTTTACTAGGACTATACAGGGCCCAAATCGAAGACACAGCAAGAAAAGCAAAGTCCAGAATGGCACATGAAGTCACGCAGATCTACTCTCAAGGAGCAGTTGTCATTTTCAGGGGAGGGCAGTGCCTTCGGTGAGGAAGAAGCTGGGTAATGATCAATATAGCCTAGCAAAATTTGATGACTGACACCACAAGGGACCAAGTTACATGCCTATATTTAAAGTGTGTTTGGAAAATAGGTGAAGACCGGAAATACAGAGAATAAGCAGACTTAATAGAAGACATGGAAAGAAAAAAAAGTGTCAGAACAATTGATTCTTCAACACAGAATTTTGTCTTAGGCTGTAGAGAACTAACAGACTTTTGAATCCTGTAAGTGATAAATGGCCGACATTAAATGAAGCAAGATGTGTGCTTGATGCCACCAGATATTTACAAGTCACAGAAGAATGCTGCAGCAGACTCTTCTCAAAGAGCTGGTTTCACCACGCTGCAGGCAAGATTCACATGCAGAAACTGATTTTCCTCCGAAGATATTTAAACTCAACAGCAAACATTGTGTATTATAAAAATCTGTAGTCTGTCTCAAGCTCTTTGCCTCTGAGACTTGTGAAGCTAATTAAACATGCACTATTCAAGGTGCTTGTTCCACTTTGGTTTAAAGCAGTGGACAAGTTATCTAGCACCCTTCCCTTTTGCAAACTAGCAAATTCAATTTACATTATTATTACTGTACATTTCCTGTGTAACCTTATTTCCTGCTGTCATTGCCAAATGAAACTACCATTCCATGACAAAAAAAAAAAAAAAAAAAAAAAAAAAAAAGTGCCAAGGTCACTACAGTTAAACAATTTGATTGCAGTCTTCACCCCTACACAATTTTCACTTAATTCTTAACTCCTGCTTATTATGATAGGGGAGTGAAAAGGAGGGGGAGAGAATGTTGAGTGCGCATCAACTTAAGTGTCAGACTCTACAGGCAATCTGAGTTCAGATTAGTGTCCTTGATTTTTTTTTTTTTCCCCAAGTTATGCGAGTTAAGGTTGGATTTATACATGGCACCATACAAAATCTTCTATCATGACTTCATAGAGAGCTGGAGGCAACACTGTTCCACTGAGAAGAACAAAATCATTAAGTAAAGATTCATGGCAATGGAAAGAGGCATGTGTTTGCTATACTGGCAACCACTAGCAGCAACCAGCGGTCCTTTGTGAAACCAATTCCCCATTGCTTTGCTATACAAAAGGAGATTAGGATTTCTAGATTTAAAATGACCAATTTAGACAAAAAGTGCAAAACTTCAGAAGTCACAGCAACCTTAGAAATGTCCAAGAACAGACTGGATAGACACTTAACTGGGATGGTTTAGTCAGGGACAATCTTGCCTTAAGCAGGGGGCTGGACTAGAAGACCATGTGAGGTCCCTTCCAGCCCTACTTTCCTATAATCCTATAAACCTGACCATATTGTTTGTAATCACGATGAAAAATGCCATTATCTTAACATACAACTGTGCAACCTGTAGGAGTTACGATGGTTATAAAAGTATATAAACTGGAACTTCTTACCGAGTTACATAAAGTTATTCTGTGCATCTGTAACCAGGATGCAGAAACTTCTGCAGCATTTCATTCAACAAAATGCTGGACCACCTGCTTGGTTTGTTCAAG